TCTGGTGCTGTTCGCCAACAAGGAGCTTGTGGAAACTGTGGTACTGATGGCTGAAGACAAAGCAACAGGAGAGGGGGAAGGCATGATAGGAGACCGTGAGAGAGAAGGTAAGGAATGAGTGTGGAGATGAGAGTAGGCTGATATATATGGATATATTGTGTGTACAGGAGACTAGGTGGAAGGGAAGCAAGGTCAGAAGCACTGAAGGCAGATTTAAGCTGTTCTATTATGGTGGAGCAGAGGCAATCTTGTAGGAAATGTATATGACGGTGCTGTGGGGGTGAAGAGAATGCCAGACAGCCTCAAGTGTGAGGCTTGAAATATTCAGTTCCATTTCAATTCAATTTTATTTATACAGCGCCAAATCACAACAACAGTCTCCTCAAGCCACTTTATATTGTAAGGTCGACCCTACAATAACACATACAGAGAAAAACCCAACAATCATATGACCCCCTATGTGCAAGCACTTTGGCGACAGTGGGAAGGGAAAACTCCCTTTTAAATAGAAGGGGTGATGTTGAATGCTGTCAGTGAATATGAGCCACAGGCTGGATGTCAGCAGAGAAAGACTGTTGATTAAAGTAGACTTCAATTGACATAAAGCAAAGGGACCATAGGTGATGAGGAGGTGATGAGAAGGTAGGTTAGGTATGGCGTCAAATAGAGAAAGGCAGAAAAACACAAATGGTGGTGGATTTTGAAAAAGGATGGAAATGGCTGTGGCAAATATCCGCTTCAAGAAGAGGGAGGAACATCGAGTGACATAAAAGAATGGAGGAAGGTGCGGACAGGTGGACAACAGCTTATGCAGAAGGTTCCATTTAAAGACACAGGAGACTGTGAGATGGTGTCAGGGGAGACTGTAGCGAAACAGCACTGGATAACAGTCTGTAGGATTACTTTGGAAATCAAAAAGAGGAAGTGAGTGAAGACAGAGGCTGAAGAAGGAAGAAGGAAAATGGCTGCACAGAGTTTGGGGGGAGTTGACACAGGCTTTAAGTTGTAGTTAAGAGTTACAAGAAGAGTGTGAAAGTACAGCTGTAGTGCTGAGAGAAACTTCCAGAAAGGTATCTGATGTATCCTCTGGACAGAGGCTTGCTCTGGAAATAAGAAAGGGACTGAAATTCAGCAGAAATAAAGCATAATACATGTGTACAAGTGAGTGGGAGGCAGATGAAACAGTGAAGTAACAGTGAAGCTGTGAGGAATAAACACCTGAGATCAACCATCCAAAGCAATGGACAGAGCACAAGAGAGCTGTAGAAGAGAGTGGAGGCAGTGTGGAGCAGCTGTGACAGAATGATGGCAGCAAGAAAGAAAGGGAAGGTTTACAAGACAAGTGAGTGAGGCCTGCTATGACGTATGGTTTGGACACAGTGACAATGACCAAAAGATAGGATGCCGAGCTGAACATGTTAAGATCTTCACTGGCAGTGACTAGATTGGACAAGGTTAGAAATGAGAACATCAGAGGCACCACTCAGGGTGAACCGAGTGAGTGAAATGAGTTTTGAGGAGGGATAGTGGATATACTATTCAAGCAATGTTGAAGACAGAGCTACCAGTCAGAGGAAGAAGAGGAAGACCAAGAGAAGACTCATGGATGTAGTGAAGAAGGGGATGCTAGGTAGGGATAAGGTGGGACAAAGGTAGACGATCTGCTGTGATTAAAGGTAGTCACAGCAGAAGAAGAAAAACTACAGTCTATGATGAATGCCAGTTAGAGATCACCAGTGGGTAAACTTTTTCAATGCTATACTGTCTTAATTTTAAAATTCCCAATGGATGAGAGCATGGAAATGACCGTGGTGGAACATATCTCAAGTACTTTTTGTTTATTTAAATATTTCTACGCTACACTAATATTTTAGTTTGTACTCTATAACTTATCTAAAACCTTTAGCTAGTTATAATTTTGAAGTTACTGAAAGGTGA